CCCCATTCAATGCGGATGGGAAATGATGGGACGCACCCTGACCGATGGGACGCACACTGACCGACAGAACGACGTCTGGTCAGACGGAACGCCGTCTGGTAAGACGGGACATGGCCTAGCTATGGCCCACCACTATCGCACGCCGACGCGTGAAAACCAAAGCATCACCACGCGCAGGCAGCTCTCCGCCTCCCCAAGCGGGACTTAGAAAAACCCAAATGACAGGATCTTCGCCAGGAGAAACCATTGGGCTTCCTAAGTCGATTGAACGGCTCAAGAAAACACCGAGAGACATGTAAGGAGCGAAGAGACGCCCCATATAGGCCATGCCAACTCCGTCACGAACGACGAGCACGGGTCCCGGTCGGACATTTCCGATTGGAGCTCTTCAAACCCCGTCACTCAAATCATCATGGTAACACTGCTGACCCCCGCTATTTCTTTATAATCATTTCATACATCTATACATGCATTCATTCCATACGCCCGTGCCCCCCGGACGATTTCGGCCCTGAACCGCCTGGGGGCTCGGGAACTAAGCCATCGCACGTGCAGCGAAATGCATCACAACGCTCCGTGTTGCGTCACGGAGCGGCAGTTGCCTTATTTGACATGAGCAACGATCGACCGGGGTTCAAAGGCTAGCCCACGAAGGGCTCGAGGTCGCCCCACGTCAAACAAAGCCAGGGGAGAAAACGCAGACGAGCCCTGTGCGGCCCTCGCCCCGTCTGCCCCAAAGCAGACAGGGTAATCTCAACCTTCTCGTTTGATCCTAAACCTCTTGCCAAGCCCACAGAATCTCCATCGAGGGGAGGCCGTCAGGCCATCCGGGTCGGTCTCCGGAATGATCCAGGCATCTGTCGGGTTGCAGGTAAAGGAGCAGTGAAATGTCACAAGAGGGCTATGTCGACCCCGTCACGAACGACAGACCTGGATTCCACTTGATCATACCCGTTAGCGAACTCACCGAGCGCGTCACTCGAGCCCGAACGATCGGGACAAGGGACAAAACTTAGCCCCTCCGGTTGTGAGAAACCAAGGATGGGGTAACGCACACAACTCAAATCGACCCCTACCAAAGCCCAACGGGGCTCGAGGGCTCAAGACACCAAACGCCCGGGTCTGTGACCCCGAACTCGCCCCATCCATCGGCTACGCTTCAACTACACACCAAACGCCTGGGTCTACGACCCCGAACTCGCCCCATCAGGATCCATGAACTCCGGCTCGCCCGATCCCTAAAAGTAACTAAACTGACTGCCTTGGCTGCGTGGGTTGCGCCAAGACCAGGATCTACGACTCCGACTCACCCGATCCCACGACGCGCACCGACACCAGGACCCGCGAGTTCCTCTCGTCCAATCCCTAAAAACTAACCGCCTCGGCTACGCAACGATGCCTTGGTTGACAACTCCGTCTCGACTGAAAAACACGCCCACACGCCCGCTGACAAACACCCCCTAGATGATTCTATCCGAATCGCCTGGGGGCTCGGGGGCTACACCCGTGGGTGCGCTCGCGCGCACCCGCTGACGAAACGAAAACCTCCACCGCTGGCAACACGAAAATCCCCTGGACGATTCTACCAGAATCGTCCGGGGGCTCGGGGGCAGCGCACCCGCCGTCAAGACAAAAAAATCCCCCAGATGATTCTGCCCGAATCATCCGGGGGCTCGGGGGCTCCTGTTTGGTTCATAAACCAGGGGCCCCTCGCGGACCGGCTTTCTAACAAAGGCTCGGCCCAAGCAGACAACGCGCAACTCATGGGCCGACCTAAGTATCCGAACAAACAGGCCAGAAGGGCGATCCAATCACCGACCGAAAGGCCTAGCCGAGGAGGAGCGGCCCCCGTTTTTCGACTCCCGCCCACCTCTTCGACCGGAGCGCTCGCTTAGATCTCCATCCCGCCTCCGAACGGCCGGCCGACCGGAAGGCCTAGTCAAAACACTACTTCCGACTCCGACCCCACGTCTTATCGGGGTACGGCAAAACCCTGCTTACTGCTTTTCTCCGACTGGCGCAATCAGAGCCGACTGGGACCAACCCACCGGGGACGCCCGCCCGGTAACGACCAGGAAAAGGGCAGAGAAAGCAAGGCAGGGCGCACAAGTCAAACCACGATACAGGGATCGTACCTTGTACACCTGTAGAAACAGTACTCTGCAACCTCCCTAGCACAACAGAGCCCAGACAGTGCTGTAGGCGCCGACATTTTCCCCTATATTATTGTGGGCGCCGTTAACTCACATACGGTAAGGCTCCCCCACGTGCCTCTGGGCATCGACAATGTTGTGGACGCCGGCATTTATCATCCCGAGTGAACATGGTAAAACTCCTCACATGCCTCTAGGCATCAACAGTATAGCTGGTACCGACATCTGCCATACCCGAACAAAACGACGCAACCTCCTACGTGCATCCGACATCCAACGGTATTGCGGGCACCTATCATCATCCTGTACCCGCCGGCGTGGACAATAAGGCTTAGAAGCATACATACCCTCTCCCTCTGACTTGTAAGGCCACCCCTTTATCTATAAAAGGGGATGCGCTCTCTCTCAATATCCCAGATTCATTAGATCGATCAAGTTCACTAGTTCACAACCACAGAACCGCCAGGTTCGAACCTAAAGCACACGCTTGAACACTAAGCTCATAGCGGAGCTCCTGTCGCTCTCGGCCCTTTCGACCGGAGATCGACCGGACCTCTTGTACTCCCCATCTTTTTCCTTCTTATTTGTAACCCCACTGTAAACTTCGAGCACCTGCGCTCATGAATAAAGTCACCGATCGACTCAAACTGGACGTAGGGCACGTTGCCTGAATCAGTATAAACCCTGTGTCAGTGAGTACTATGTCACTTTCGATCACAACGTACAACAAAATTATAAATATTTACTTGCTGGTCACTTTCTGCACCGACAGTTTAGGATAAAAATATATTTTTAAACACCTTGTTCGTTTGGGATTGTTTGGCTGATAAGCTATGGCTGAAAGTACTGTTAACTGAGTTGGTGTAAGAGAAAAATATTATTTATTAGCTAAAAAAATACAGCTTATAAGCCAAACGAGCTCAAATAAGCAGGCGAAAGTTCATGAAATTTGATGACACTCCGTCAAGAAGTTAATAAATATGATGTGTGTGTTTTTGACGGGGCTAGCACCAGCACGCTAGTCGAGAGGCGGGCCAAGACACCGATGGGTGATGGCATGACCACATGACGCGTAACGCAAAATTGCTGCTACCGCAGGGTGGGCGGGTGGTATGGCACGGCACTGCTGGCGTGCTGCGTCTCCACGCTGCAGCTCTGCACGATGCATCACGCATCACTGCATCAGTGGCATTGCTGCGCGCCTGCAACGACGAAAACCGAGCCCTGCGTTCCCGCCTTCACGGCTTCCCCAGACCCCAGGAAAAGTGAAGGGCAAAGACTCACGGCTCACGGGCTACGGTCTACGGAACTGTCCCGTCGCACGACTGCCAACTTGACATGCCATTTCGGCTCCCTCCTCCTCGTCGACGTCGTGAACGAATATACGTATACTGTTCTTCGATTAATAAACGTGCTAAGTAACACTGTCAGTCTGTCACAGATACTACTCATTAATGGTTTTTTTAGTAAAACCTCCGTCTTTCAATGAGTCATTCCAGATTTAAATAGATTTATAAAAAGAGTATTAATATTTATATCTTTAAATAGTTTATCACAGCAAAATATATTTCATACTAATTTAATGACGCTTATTATGTATCATAAATATTACGCTATCCTTTCTAAAAATAATGGAATTTTAGGTTTGAGACTAGTCAAATATTCTTAGTTCTGGCCTACTTTATAGAAAAAACATAATATTTATGTCTTTACATAGATTTAGTATAAAAATATATTTCATAATCAACCAACGACACTTATTTAGGACCGTTTGGATGGGAGAATCATTTCAGATTCTCACGTGGAACCCAAGAACCTGTGCCAAACGATTAAATGCTAAAACGTTTCAGCTTAGAAACGTTTCTCCTTTGCCTAGGAACTGGAATCACCTACATCCTGGATTCGCTTCGCAGTGATTCTACTACCGTTTCTTTTGCCTCCATTCTCTTCTAGCAATTGTATCTTATTTGTTTGTAATTATTTTTGGTGCAACAAATTAAAATGTGTTATATTTATGTTTTTCTTCGCTTACAATTTTTTTTTGAGAGCCTATCAGCTAAACGATCTCACGAGATGATTCTGAGCCGTCGTCTGAAACATTTCACATTTCTCAAGAGAATCTGAAGCAAGTATGTTTCTGCAAGAATCTGAATCCCTAAGTTAAAATTGTTTGACTTTCTTATTACGGTCTTTTTAGAGCATATACTTACTTTTTTATACTTGGTTAAAGTTAAAATTACATGATTCACCGAGAATCACTATAGTGCATTTTTTTCCTCACCATGTATTTAGATTATACTATGCTTTTTATCCGTGGTATGCAGGCTACGAGCACGACTGCACGAGCGCTCCAAGCTGCAGCCGCGATGAGTGATGCCGAGTTCTGCAGGCTTCTTTTTTTTTCTTTTCGAACTGTCAGCACGCTCTTGGGGGGTGCTTATTCAGCATTTCAATTGAGCATCACAGCAAAAGAGCGGGAGGCTGAGCAGGCCGCAGAGATTTCATATAAGGCATAAGGGCACAGTAAATAAAAGTGTAAAACAGCACCCAAGTGCAGCATACGTTGACGAACAAGGATAATATGATTCAAATTTTGAAGTACAAATGCCATGCATACACACACTCACGGGAGACGAGACCACAAAACAAAACATGACGAGTACTACATCTATCGACGAGCGACCACTGGATCACATGATACAACTTTATTAGGCGGAGTACTGCGATGCAAATTAAAGACCAGGCATCCAGATAGACCACCGACGCCAAGACTGATACCGAAACGCCTGACAACTGTCTCGCATTCGCATGGCATGTCATTGCTAAACCAGACACCGTACCGTGCCCCTAGTAGTCGCCGTCGTAGAGCCTCCGGCCGACCTCGAACGAGGCGAACGCGTCGGCGCAGGCGTACTTGAGCTGGTCGCCCGACAGCGTGGGCGCGTCCCAGGCGCTGACGCGGACGTGGTGCGGCTTCTCCATCTGCAAGCCCATCACCACCCACACCAGCGCCGGCAGCCCCGCGCGGCGCAGGTCGGGCCTCCCCAGCGTGTCGGCGGCGAGCGCGCGCAGGTCCACGGCGTTAGCCACCCACAGCCCGTACCCAGCCCGCAGCTTCGCGACGTCGTCGCCGATCCCGACACCGACGAAGGTGAACCGGCGGTCGGCGAGGAACCCGGACAGGGCGTTGGGGACGTAGTCGGCGTGGAGGATCTGGAACACGAGGCAGCGGTGGTCGACGCAGATCTGCAGCACGGCGACAGGCGGGACGGGGCCCGGCACGCGAGCGGGGCGCCACTCCACGTCGAGGCCCGCGATGTGGCCGCCGCGGCCGTGGAGGCGGTAGGTCTCGCGCAGCCACCACTCCACCACGCTGCCGCAGTTCGTGACCGTCGTGTCGATGTGGTCCGCGTCGAACGACACCACGACGGTGCCGTCGTCGTAGTAGCCCTGGATCTCCGTCGCCATGTGTGAGATCGAGCTCGCTCTCTCACTCTGCGCGGTGGGGTCGTGGTTGTAGCACTAGAAAGGAAACCTAGATAGGAACACAACGGATGCGTTGGGGTCGGTTTATATAGACCGAGAAAATGGGTGCTACCCCAACCTTAGACGGTCTCCGACAACCACGACTAAAATAAAATAAAGACACATTTGTTCTTTGCACAGTGCTATAGATAAATTATTTAATATTTATTTTTATCTTTTCTAATAGAAAGATCCAAAAGACAACACTTTTTTTTAAATGAGTCTATAAGGAAGAGAATACTTGAATTTAGGTTATACCTCTCCTAATATCTCAAAACGAGTCTTTTATATAGGTACTTGGTTGAAGACGCCTGTTCACACTGATTATATTGAAGATCTATTTTAAATTTAGATTTCACGGTGAGTCTCCGTTGAAGACAGCCTTGCTTTTAAACTAGACCGACAAAATTCTTTTACAGATCCATTCCAATAAAAATCATTTATATCTCTTCCACCCTCTAACGATTGTCCTATATTTTGTTAGGCACTTTAAAAATAAACTTCAGTCTATATTTTTTTCAAATGACAAACCAGAAATAACTGACAGAAATAATGAGATCTAGTTGAACAAATGCTGGAGAGTATTTTTCACCTAAATTTCTAGATATCAGTCAACGCGGAAGAATATAAAAAGAGTGCTAAAGTTGCTCTTAGCAGATTAGCCAAATTTCACTGTACATTCCTTTTAGTTGGATAACATTCCTTTTTTTATAACTCTTCCAAAGATCGTCGCTGTGTTTCCCGCACATTACTTTCGCACTGTTCAACATCATTTATCCCCGTCCACTGGTATTTTTGAGTTTTGAGTATCTAGTCATTTTGCTTGGTCATTAATTTATGCTGCAAATTTCTTTGTGGAGTGGAGTGAGTACTCCCTGTGTATCCTTTTTAAGTGTCGCTCTAGTATTCACGTTAGTTATATTAACAACATTTATATATCCAAATAAGTTTATTATGAAAAGAGATTCAATGATATAATTAATGATACTAATTATATGGCATACATATTAATATTTTTTATATATTTAATTAAAATTCAGAACGTTTGATTTCTCAAGAAGTGAAAATGACAACTAAAAAGGGATAGAGTGAGTACATGTTATCCATATCCATTGTCCACCTCTATACTCCATCTATCCTAAAATAGAAGTCGTTCTCGCTTTCCGAGAAGTTAGTTTTTTTTAACTTTGACCAATTCTATATATAAGAATATTAATATTTATAATACATAATTAGTATCATTAGATAGATCGTTGAATATATTTTCATATTAAACTTATTTGGAGGTATAAATATGTAACACCTCTGATGTTTTGACCTATCATTAAAATTTGACATGTCATCATATGCATTGCAAATCATTCATAAAGTAGAAAATTTGAATGCATTCACTAAATAAGCTTTATTTCATAATGTTGTTATTTTATGTGATGTGATTCAAAACCCTAAATAAAGATCATGACCACAAGAGTCAAAATTCATGTGATCATGTGAGACCATGTGTTAATTGACTCAAATAACACTAAGGGGCCATGTTACTGGTCAAAAATCAAAGTTAAGTCAAAAGGTAAACAAATCAAATTTGAATTCAAATTCTAATTATAAAGGTCATTTTTGCCCCTTTTGTCTATTTTAAAATCCATTTGGAATTTGGGGTTGTGACAAAAAGCAAAGTTGAAGCTTAGTTAATAAGGATCAACTTTGGTATTCAAAGTTTTTCAAGTTTACATATAAAATTTGGAGTAATTTTGAAACGATTCAAATACTCAAATGCACCCTAAATTCAAATTTCAAAATGGGGCAGAATTTGAAAATGTGCCTTGAAGCAAAGTTGTAGAGTTTGAAAAGTTGAGCAACTTTCATTTTTGGAGATTTTCAACTTCTTTAGAAAAATTGGGAGTAATTTGTAAAATGAACTCAGTGGTAAATCTGTAAATACTTCAAAAATCAAGTTGGCAACAGGGCGCCACCGCCCCACCACCTGCGTCCTTTCTCTGGTCTTCCAGGCATGTCTGCGACCGCCCTTGGCTTCGCGCTGGCGCGGGGAGCACGCTGCGTGTCGATTCCGCGTGCTCCTGGCCGAGCTATAAGACCCAGACGTCGTCGTTGGCTTTTCTTTCTTTCCCTCCATTTTCCCGACGCCGCCGTCTCAACTCCGGCGAGCTTCTCTCGTCTTCCCAGCGCAAAATAGCCCAGGAAAAGCCGTGTCCTAGTTCCGCCTGCTCCTTGCGCATCCGACCGAGCTGTTGCTACCGCTTGATTACGCCGAGAGCTCGTTGTCCACGTTCATCTTCCTCGCGGCCGGTGACCTCAACGGAAACTCCGATTCACCGTGGTCAACATCGTCCGGTGAGCTGTTGCCCTTTCTTGTTGACTCTACGGCTTCGTCTCGATGTTGTAGTACTTATTCCACTCTTACCTGCTCGTTTTATCCACTGCAGTCGCCGTAACGCTGTCGTCGACGAGGTCTGCTCCGCCGTGATCCCGGTCACCGTCGAAACGCGTCACCATAGCTCATCCGGTCTCGCTCGTTGCTTCAACACATTCGGGGTAAGCCACTGATGCTTCCTGAACTCTCTGTTTCACTGTTACCGGCCTTGTTTCGCCGGCATAACGCTTCCGTGCCACCGCGTCCGCCATGGTCGGCGTTAGCCTTGTTCCATGTCGAACTCAACCTCCAAAGTACCATAGATCGATGCGCCTAGTTCTTGTGAACGTGTTGGTACTTTGGCCGTCGCTGTTGGGCTCACCGGCGGCGAGTTAGCGCCGGTCAGCGCCGTCGATGCCATGGTCAATGGCAGAGGATAGGGATGACATGTGGGGGCCGGCTGTCAGTGAGAGAGAGAGAGAATAGTGTACTTTGATATTTTCTGATTTTGAATAGTGCTGAATCTTTGGAAATTTGTAGGAAAATAATCATAGCTCCAAAAATTCTAAAAATTTGTGTGTAGCTTCTGTACATGTTCTATTATGGTTTAAAAATTTGAAACTTGAAATTTGAATAAATTTTTAATGCTCAAAAATTCAGTCAATTAATTGATAAATGCAATTTCCATAATTTTTGTAGGTCACTATATAGCTCCAAAAATTATGAAATTTATTTTGGTATACTAATTTGTTATGAGGAAGCTTACATAAAATTTTGAGGTCATTTGGAACAAGTTTATTTTTAGGCTTATTTCCAAATTAATTCAAAATTGAATAAAAGCAAACCCTAATTGTTAGGGTTAGGGTTTGATCTTGTTTGGGTCATGTTGTGTGATCAGTAGGGTTTCAAGATCAATTTGGTCAAGTCGCTTAGGTTATAAACCCTAGATGTTAGTGTCAAGTAGTTTTGTTGACTTACAACTATATCGCGAAGGAAAGTTGTATTCAAGGTGTGATTACATTTCATGTACCATGAAAGCATCATGTTTACATTATCATCATATTGAAGCATATGTTATTATTTCGTGTAGAATGCGAGAGTAAAACGATTCTAGTTGAGCAAGTTGTGGAAGAATCCCCGGTTGTCACGGGATTAGATAATTGTGGTACTGATCCGAAACCAGAGATCGTCAACGAAGGCAAGCCCCGGTTTATGCATTGAACCTTTACCTTGTTTACTTTGAAAAGTTTATCACCTATGTTACCTATTGCATTAAGTTGATTATTTCAAATGTTACCTACTTGATGCATTGCCTACCTTGTTAATTGTTTACCATCCTTGAAGATGATTTTATTTACAAAGGCGTAGAATGCTTAGTATGCTTTAGGGTAGGCTTTCAAAGTAAAAGTTTCGATACAATCAAAGATGGCATACTGGCCAAAGAAAGAAAGAAGATAGAATGAACTAGAGGCTAGTCGGGTGACTTATCTTGAATGTTGGGTAATGTTGTCGACTATGTCGCTTAAAGGCCACTCATTGTGGATCTTCTGAACGAGACACTTTGTAGTACTGGTCACATACTCCGGTAAGCCTACTTCGGCTAATCCGATACTAAGACGAATGCCCACGCACTAGAAGTGGAGAGATGGCGGGAGTAGCGTGTACCCTCGTGGCTGGAATGTGGCTGGATTTGAGATGTGCTGTGCTCTCGGGTGGCGTGGAGACGGCTTAGTATAGGAGGATCCGGTAGCGAGGTTGATATATGCAAGATTAAGTTCTACATATGTCGTGTGATAAGGAATCCCCAGCTGGGACTTGAATCAATTCGAATTGTCGGTGCTCCGCGGATATGGAGACTCGATTCATTACAGAAGCAATGCCGGACTGGTGAAGTACTAAAACATGAGAAAAAGAATGGAATGAGAAGGATTGGAACATGGGATATGAACACTTAGTTGGAGATAATAAACTAAAGTACTTAGGGGTAAAACTTGAAACTAGGATCAAGAATAGTAATCTTTTGGCAAAGAACTTTTGAATCTTTCTACATCCTTACCTTGACCCAACACCTGCATCCCTAAGACCTTTGCCCTTTTTCGTCGGGTCAGTCTTGTTGAGTACTTTTGTACTCAGGGTTTGTTAACTCTTGTTGTAGGTGAGTCGCATGCGCAGGCTTGTTTTGGTCCCTGCTGTATGTCAGTGTTTGAAGTTGATGACGATGAGGAATGATGAATGGCCTTTGGACAAGGCACTAGTTTGTGTGAAATAAATAATGTTAATGTAATATTATCCCGCTACTATGGTTGTATGATACTTATGGTTTTATAAATTTGAAACAACTGGTTTGTAACAATAAAACTTAAGTCTTCCGCTTTATAATCTCTGGTATGTATATTGAAAACTGCTGTAATCCGCAATGACTGTGATTGGGATCCTGTTTGGAAAAGATCCGTGGATGATTCGGGTTTCCCGAGGACACCCTACATACCTGTTAAGTTGTTGGGAACTTGTGTACGCTATCTGAGGTCTGCTGAGACATCGATAGGTGCACGTGGGCCCGATTTCTTAGGATGTTCTGCCACAAAATATTACACGTATTTTCTACAAACCTAGTCAAAGTTAAGAAAGTTTGACCTGCACGTATCTCATGATGACTTCTATGCTAGGACGGAAGGAGTATGGACAATTGACCATACATTCACACCGCCCCAAAAAGAATAAAATTTAGGTTTAAGACTACTCTAAGTTTCTCAAATCTGAACTATTTTACAGAAAATTAATATTAGTTAAACTCAAAAATTGATTTCTTGTTTAAGCAAAATGTACTGTACGACGGATGGAAGGAGAAGGGTGTGTGCAGTCAAGCGACTGTTTGTGTTGTTTACCGTGCTCCTGGCGCGTCGCCAAGCGCAAGCGGAGATATTTGTTTGAGGCCGTGGGAGTGGGATATGGGATATATGAATTGTGGTTCCTCCTGGCCCACATTGGCAGTGGAACAAATTAGATGAATGGTGATTCTTTGACCGGCAAGACTCGTCAGTGCTGCATCCGTTGGACGGTAGCGGAACTGCCTCCTGTGGAGGGACACTGAGGGCTTCTTTACTTTCTCCATAAAGTTTACTCGGGCCTTGTTTAGATGCATCCCAAATTCCAAGTTTTTTTACTCTCTCTCCATCACATCAATTTTTAGCCGCTTGCATGGAGTATTAAATGTAGGTAAAAAAAATAACTAATTACACAGTTTAGTTGGAAATCACGAGATGAATCTTTTGAGCCTAGTTGGTCCACGATTGGACAATATTTGTCAAATAAGACGAAAATGGTACTATTCATCGGGTTGAAATTTTTTCGCAATCTAAACGAGGCCTCGTTGTGACGTCGGATATTTTGATACATACGTAAAGTATTGAATATATACTAAAAAATAACTAAATTATATAAATTGTGACTAATTTATCAGACGAAATTTTTAAGCTTAATTAGTTTATGATTTGACAATGTGGTGCTACAGTAAAGATATGCTAATGATAGATTGATTAGGCTTAATAAATTCGTCTCACGGATTACTGATGACTTTTATAATTTATTTTATTATTACTATCCTAACACTCCAGTGATATCCCAATGTGATATTTAACGTGATATTTCTAAACTTTACTCGCTGGATTTAAACACAGAACAGACAGAGGCGCATGACCCAACAGGAACTGGAAGGATGTTGTGATCGGCTCCAGAAAAGACTCTGCTGTAGCCTTTTTCTCATCTCTCAAATCACTGGAGGTGGCAAGCTGCTGCAGCAGAACATGATGCAAATAAGAACAAAAAATAAGTTTACAAAGAACAAAAACAATGGCTCTGTTCGTTTATCTTATAATTCATATTTTTCAGTTTGTTTTTTTTAACCGGAACAATGTTTTTCTCTCATAACAAATCAATCGGAACAGTGTTTCAGCTTGTTTTTTTAGCGAAGGAAACAGGGCCATCGATGAATCTACAGCCTGTTCGTTTCGGCTGAATTGTTCATATCTAGCTTATAATCCATGGCTTGAATAATATTTTTCTCTCAGACCAAACCAACCAGTAGTACTTTCAGCCATGGCTTATAAGCTAATGTAGTAATGTTTCAAATAATTATACTACCAAATTATATTACACGGTGAATCTAACGTAGTGATGTTTCATATTAAATGCCTTAAATGTTAATATTATTTATATAAATTTGATAAATTTAGAATATTTAACTAAACACTTCTTTAATTACATTCATTTCATTTATAGAACTGGGGCAGTAAACTTCATCGGACTATACCTAAAATAAATCAACTCATAGAATCATCCTAAGTCAAACTATTTTTAATTTAAGTAATTTTATAGAGAAAAAAATAACATCTGTTTTACAATGTACTATTGATATTAATTTGGTCTTGTGAATATTGATGGTAGTTTTTATAATTTGATTAAATTTTAAGTAGTTTAGGATAACTTTAAAAGTTGATTTATTTTCCTTTGATTCCTTTGTTCTCGGCTTGACTGAGGGAGTAATTACTTATTTTCTTTGATTGCTTTGTCACATGTACAGGCTTTATGGCATCCATGATGGTGAAAAGCAGTCCATTCAACATCTTAGCAGAAGATAACGAGGTTTTAGGAGCAAAAGGCGAAGGTTCCAGAGGACGGCAATTCAAATTTCAAACACAGCTCCCAAATGGGCGTCGACGAACCACGCGAATCATCGTACGCCAATGTCGAGAGGAAGTTCAAATGCCATGCATACAATCCAAGCAACGAAAACGAGAGTAGTACTGCGAATATTTATAGGACACGAGAATGCAGATTAAAGACATAAAGCCAGACGGACACGAGAATACATATTCAAGGAAGACATCAACGATAACGAGGACTAAAGACGGCACCAAGTAAGGAACTAAGATGACGATGACACCGATCAAGGAATAGTGGACTAGTAGTCGCCGTCGAAGAGGCTCCGGCCAACCTCGAACGACGCGAAGGCGTCGACGCAGGCGTACTTGAGCTGGTCATACGTCAGCTTGCGCGCGTCCCACGCGCTGACACGCACATGGTGCGGCTTCTCCATCCTGACGCCCATCACCTCGAACACCAGCGTCTGCAGCCCGGCCCCGCGCAGGGCGGGCTTCCCGAGCGTTGTGGCGGCGAGCGTGCGCAGGTCGACCATGCGCCCGACCTTGAGCCCGTACCCGGACCGCAGCTTGGCCGCGTCGTCGAGGACCCCGACGCCCACGATGGTGAAGCGCTCGTCGGCGAGGAAGTCGCACAGCGACTCCGGGATGTAGTCGGCGTGGAGGATCTTGAAGACGAGGCAGCGGCGGCCGACGCAGATCTGCAGCAGGGCGACCGGGGGCACGTGGCCCTTGGACATCGACGGGCGCCACTCCACGTCGATGCCGACGACGAGGCGGTTGAGGCGGCGGCGGTGGATGCGCTGGATCTCGTCCAGCCACGAGTCCACCACGGCGCCGGAGTCCGTTAGCGTCGTCTGGATGGCATCCTCGTCGAACAACACCTCGAAGTTGCCGTCTTCGGTGCGGTGGATACTGGTCGCCATCTCCTCTCCGGGCTCCGGCGATCGATCTACTCTCTTCCTCTCTCTCTCTCTCTCTCTGCGTTGTCGTGGGTTTTTTCAACTTTCAGCTGGTTCTGTGATGTCGATAGAACCGCTCTGGGGAGCGGTGTATAGGCCTGTTGGTAGAAGGAACCGCGGAAAGGGTGGTGCGTCCGTTCACGCACGAATGGGTGGCTGAGATTTCGTTTGGTTGGGGTTCTCGCGTGCATCGACGGCCCTGATCACTCCAGCAGCAACGCGGGGTTTGGCAAGTGTACGCTCTCGCTGTGCATGAGAATGGGCATGCCATATTACGGGCCTGTGGGGAGGTTGGAAGAAACGTTAGAGATTTCGCAGCGCATGCGTGGCTTTCCTTGGACTCACTGACAGTAGTGGTCCCAGTATGTTTTCTCGTGTCGTGGCCCACTTGTAATTGACTGCCCGTAAAATCATACGGAGTAAAGTATGGCCGAATGGAACAACAGATAGAAGGGGAGAAAAATCTGTTTGAGAGTGCCCTGCTCGCTTGACTGATAATGGCCGTAAGTATTGTTGGCTGATTTGTTGTAAAAGAAAAATATTATTTGTTGTAAAAAAAAATCCGGCTTAGACTGTCTCCAACACCGCGCCCCAAACGCATATTTGCGTCCCAGACGATGTTTTGGGTACCGGAATCGGCCTCCAACCGATGACCAATACGCAAGACGCAATTTGCGTTCGAGGAGAGAGGAGACGCAAAGTTGCGTCGTCCTCCACGCGCGACGCAAACTGCCGGCGCTGCCCCTCTCTCGCTCTCGTCTCTCCCGCGCGCCCCCTCCGGCGCGGCGCGGGGAAGAGGAGAGGGTCGCGGGGGAGGGAGGCCATGCAGAGGAGGGAGCTCGCCGGCGGGGCGGGAGGCGAGCGGAGCTCGGCGGGGAGGGAGGCCAGGGCGCTCGACCGGCATGGATTCAGCCGCCTGCTCGTCGATCTGGCCGCCTGCTCGTTGGATCTGCTCGTCGCGCGGAGCTTGAGGTAGAGAGGAGAAAGGGCGCTCTGGATCCGCCAGAGGGAGAGAGGAGGGAGCGCCAGCCGGCCTCCTAGGGTTGTCGCGCCGCCGGATCCAGAGCTCGCGCCTCCCCCTCGAAGCGTCCGCCGTCCCGATCGGACCCGTCCGCCGCGGCCGCGCCAGCCGCTGCAGACGCCGCGCGCGCGGCGCAAGCGGACGGAGGAGTTGGAGGAAGATGATGCGGAGATGGAGGCAGGTGCCTTCGGGCCAGGGCTCGGGAAGAGTGGGGGCGGCGTGGAGGGGGACAGGAGCCGCGCTCGGCCTTTGGACTTTTGCGTCCGTTGTTGAAAACGTGAAGTTTTGTGTCCCGAAGCATTTTCCTATGCGTGACCTATAAGAAAGAATGCGTCTCGTATTTGCCTTCGACCTGTCGGAGACGGTCTTATAACACGAGCGAATAGGGCCGACGCAAAACAAGTAGCAACGACTGTGGGCCCGTGACACTCGATTCTCCTGAAGAAACCAGCGTACCCGCCTCTGCGTGCTATCTATGGGCGACGATACTAATGGGAGCGCATAGCTGGATGTGATTCTGATGGCAGTAACAGTACTAGGCGCTCTCATCAGTCACTACCATGATCTAGAAGGATGCGATGCCTCATGTCGCTCTCATTACCATCCAGGATGCCCCGTGTCTGATTCATCTCTGGTCTAGACGACTCCCTGCTTTTTGATTCCAGAAGCTGGACCACACACTTCTTCGTCTCTGGTCTAGACGACTCCCTGCTTTTCCTGACCGAATGAAATGGACCTTCGTTGTCGTTGGCTACACATACACGGACGTGGATTGTATATATCCGTAGCACGTTTTGGGCTTCTGGCTACCGGGAATGGACCTGCTGAGACCCTGAACTTTGACTGTGGTCGCATGCTTCACACGGCTCGCGTTATCCATGCAACGATGCTTCGTTATCCATGCAACGATGCACCTGCGAGTCTGCGAGATGTTTACTTCTGATATGTTTCGTATTTCCCGGCGGCGTCGTACTCGCGCACGGTCGTCCATTTCTGAAAAGGAGTCGCGCAGTCATGCAGCCTGTTCGCTTGCTCGTAAACGATCGTAAATTTCCAACCGGGAATAGTGTTTTTCTCTCACGCCAAACCAGCCAGCAGTAAATAATCCACGATACGATACGGCCTCCCGAACATGCTGATGAGCCGGTACGCGCGAGTGCCCGGCAACCACCGCCCAATCCACGCGCCCCGCTCGTGAACCCCAGCGCCGCCTGTTCCGTCTGAAACTGTGAAGACATGATGCGCCAGTCGGCTTGGCAGCAAGCATACCTGCAACCGGTGTTAGGGTTACCGCCTCTTATTTTATCCTATAATACGCCTCATATGTATGGTATTCTCAAAAAATATACGATAGATAGAGGAGTTATATCTCAGAGGTTTTGATTTCTATCTCTTTCATTCATGTGACATCTGTACAACCTTATAGGTCATCATTGAAGATATTTTAGAGATTTTTCTCTAAAGTAATGTTGGAAAGCATACGTCCATCCGCGCCAGACGTTCCTCAACCTGTTCGGGAGGCCGTATCGTATCGTGAATTATTTACTGCTGGCTGGTTTGGTATGAGAGAAAAACACTATTCCCGGCTGAAAATTTACGATCATTTACGAGCAAGCGAACAGGTCGCCTGTTGGTGACCCGACGTCCAGAAGGCTATCTTATCCGTTCGTATCCGCTCACTTCCGGCCACTGTAGTTTATATAAAAAAAACTCACACATGTTATGAATCCTTCTTCTCCTCCGCGACCGCACAGTTGAATTCTGCTGTGCCGTGCTCTGCCCGTCCGAATGCTAGGTTTAGGTTTTGCTGAAAGCGTAAGTTGTAATTGTATGTCAAGTGTTTTAGCTTTAAAGGTACGTCGTAAATATTTTAGATAGATATTAAAAAATAGATTGGGATGTTGCATATGTTGTAATAATTGTATCCGTATATTATAAATGTCCGTTACCAATATTTTATCTATGTTTTTGACATATGTTATAAGTGTGTTTGTCTGGATGTTGCATATGTTTTACACATATGTTGTAATCGTTTTATCTATATTACGTATGTTTGTAATGGTTTTCAAGTGTTTTCAGATGTTTTTAAGTGTTTCAGAAACATATTTTAAGTGTTTCATCTATCTTCTTTTATATATTGTAAGTATTTTATTAGGAGGGTTTAAAAGTAGTTCAAGCGAGTGCAGTGAATCTGCCTCTGGTCGGTGGGATCAGATTACCGGCGGTGGTAACGCCCGAACAGACAGCACTCTGCGCTTCGTCCCGTCCCACTCCCACGGAGTTTCTTCACGTCGAAGCTTTTGGTTTTACTGTGCGTCCGTGCCAGTCATGTCTTGACTGAGAAGACTCACCCAGTCGTGCCCAGGGCCCAGACCTGTCCAGCACAGGACAGCACGTCAGCACCGTAGCGGTCTAGCGGAGGAAACGAAGGGCCAAATACAAATATTTGCATTTGTCCTTCAGAGACCGTAACCGCTTCCTTTGAATGAAAAGCAAAGACAAATGAGCGTTGCCAAACAATGGTGGGAAAGAAGAGAAAAATACAACGATGGTGGGAAAGAAGAGAAAAAGATGCCAAAATATTTGGAAGCATAAGACAGCAAAAGAAAACAAGAGTTTATGGTAAAAAAATGTTGTGCATCAGTAGTAGTTTTGAGCAGAAGTGACTTAACGATTTCGTGCCACTTACATACATTGCAGATACGGCGTACCCAGCGCCCGGACGCCCGGCCGTGGCGGCGTCCAGATACAGGTTCTATCGCGTCTCTGTCCCTCACGACGTCTCGTTCCTCACCGTGCTCTTGTCCGAGCCAGATTCAACCGCTGGAGTGTTCGGCTGGATGAAATCCGGCACTGTTTATGCTGAAAACACTGTTTATACTAAAATTTTGTGAGAGGAAAACACTGCTCCAGCTGGAAAAAAAAGGCAACCAGCCAACCGTTCTTTACCAGCCGAACAAGGCCTGCGATGACCAACGAGAGCATGAGATGGGCCTCGTTCGGCTCGCTGAAACTTGACTGAATTGGCTGAAAAACACTGTTCTGGCTGAATTATTGTGAGAGAAAAACACTATTCCAACTGAAAAAACAAGCTAAATAGTGCGAATTATAAGGTAAAGCAAACGGGGCCATGACGTGCGCCTCCTCAGGGAGGGAGTGCGGGCAGGCGGGGCGGCAGCGAGCTAGGCATGGCGCGCGGCGTCTGTCCCGGCGACGCTAGCAGGCCCGGAGAGCAGGCGGCGCAGAGTGGCAGCGAGTGGGCGCGGGGGAGTGGGGTGGGTCACGGGATGAGATAAGGAGTGAGGGTTACGGGGCCGCGTCCGGACGGGACGGACGTCCCGTAGAATTATTATCGTTGTAGATAACTTACACAATTGATCTTATATAGTTGGTTAATAGGTGACAAGAAACCGCAAAAAAAAAGGTTCTACGGTCCTCTACAGATATCGATCACCAACTTGTTGTAATGAAAATAGACGGCCGTGGTAATGCCTATGAGTATACTTGTTGTTGAGCATGGAGAAAATAGATCTAAGATTGTATAATTATTACTATAAGGGTCCATATATCGAGTGCATGATTTCTTGGCCTCAGTATTTGGTCCCCGTCTTATGATCCACTAGTGACAGTGTGTTCTTCGTCTCACTGGCCACACAACATCCCCCGCTTCCCATCCAAGCTGTTATTGTGTAGCCATAGCCCATAAGCTAGATTCAATCAGTCCGTTCGTTGATTGGTTTCTGGGCTGATAAATCCGGCTGGTACTGATTCGTTGTGAGAGGAAAACACTGTTAGCTAGCTGATAAGCCCTGACTGAAACCAACAAGCGAACAGGCTGAATGTCGCCGCTATGCTAACCCTTGCCTCTTTTTTTTTGTAAATTGTCTTCTAATCTATATATTTCTAAATTTTGAATCTCAAATTTTATAGATACACTATGCATATGCATAGTTTCAAAGTTTTTTTGAAAACTTCTTAGTATTTTCCTTAACGGGTTTTTGCGATTCCACCAAATAGTTTAACCATCGCCCTGTTCCGTTTAGGCTTGTTCTGCTGATAAGCCATGGCTGAAAGTACCGTTGACTGATTTGGTGTGAGAAAAAAATACTATTCATTGGCTGATAAGTCATGGCTTATAAGCGAAACACGACCGATCGAACAGACTGCATGTCAAGTCATTAGGCACCGGATCCTCTATCATAAAAAGAATATCATCCTAGGTTCGGCTAAATCAAATTTCTTCTAGAATGATAAGATATATAAAAATATTATCAATATTTATATCTTTAAATAAGTTTATTATAATAATAAAATTTACAATTCAGCCAGGATACATACTATGTATTATATAGATATTAGTTATAATTCTTCATATACATTTGGTAATAATTCATTGATTCCTTGAAAACACATTCTTTTTTATGGAGTGAGTACTCTCAGCAGAGAAATCCGGTTTTCGAAGTGGTACAGCCGGTTCACGCTCTCCACTGTCCAGCATGCAAAAACACAGGAGGGCTTTGCCCTTGTTTAGTTGGACCCCAAAGTCTAAAAAATTACTACAGTACCTGTCACATCGAATGTTTGTGGTCCATGCATGGAGCATTAAATATAGACGAAAATAAAAACTAATTGCACAGTTTGGTGGAAAATTGCGAGACGAACGTTTTGAGCCTAATTAATCCATGTTTGAACACTATTTGCCAAATAAAAACGAACGTGCTACAGTAGCCCCAAAATCTAAATTCACCCAACTAAACAAGGGCTTTGTTTAGATAGCAGTTAGGAATAAGTATTTGACACCGTAGTACTTTCGTTTGTATTTGACAATTATTGTCCAATCATGGCCTAACTAGGCTCAAAAGATTCGTCTCGTAATTTACAATCAAACTGTATAATTAGTTATTTTTTTATCTATATTTAATACTCTATGCATATATTCAAAAATTTGATGTGATGAAAAAAGAGTAAAAAAACTTAGAATCTAAAGGCCCAGCTCACGCTTATGACGCGAAGTCGCGAACAGGCCAGGCCAGTCGTCAGCGACAGTGACGCGATCACGGTCTCCTCCGGCGACCGCCAGTCCGCAACGGGCCCAAAATGTTCACCTGCTCCCGTGGTTTTGGTTTGCACGCGCACCCCAGGCTGCAGGCGCTCGGCTGCTCTGCGCTGCGGGTGGAAGGGCTGGACCAGGAAGTGCTGGAGGCGGAACGCAATGGCTCAGCCGGCTTGGCGATTGATCAGATCATCAGAAAACCCCAGAAGCAGGCGGCAAACATTTGAGACGCCAATCATCAAACAGCTACAGAATGCACCATACGACAAATAACAACCCGAATCAAACGACGGTTGAACTCGATAACCATTTAAGTTCAGGTCCTAACCAATAGTCCAAGCAACAAACAGTACGATCAACACATTCAGTAGGCGATAACTTGACTGATAAGCTATGGATGAAACTACTTTTTGGCTGATTCGTTCAGAGAGAAAAATAATATTTGTTGACTGAAAAAATACGTTTTATAAGGCGAACAGATCGAACCAGTTAATACTACTAGAGCAGAAATTTAACAAGCCACGCCATAATTAAAGGCACGACACGATATCATCATCACTCGTCGCAGTGGCAGGTGTAGAGCTCCTCGCCGACCTTCATGGACGCGAACGCGTCGGCACAGGCGTACTTGAACTGGTCCATCGACAGCTTGCGCTTGTCCCAGGCGCTGACGCGGACGTGGTGCGGCTTCTCCATCTGCACGCCCAGCACCTCCCGCACTAGCGCCTGCAGCCCCGCGCGGCGGAGGTGGGGCTTCCCGAGCGTGTCGGCGGCGAGGGCGCGCAGGTCCACCGCGCGCGGCACCTCCAGCCCGTACCCGTCCCACAGCTTGGCTGCGTCGTCGCGGATCCCGACACCGACGAAGGTGAACCGGCGATCAGCCAGGAAGTCGGACAGCGCGTCGGGGACGTAGTCGGCGCGGAGGATCTGGAAGACGAGGCAGCGCCGGTCGACGCAGATCTGCAGCACGGCGACGGGGCCCGGCACGGAGGTGGGGCGCCACTCCACATCGAGGCCGACAATGAGCATATGGCGGCAGCGGCGGTGGATGCGGTACGTCTCCTCCAGCCACGACTCCACCTCGCCACCGGATTTGGTGAGCGTTGCGTCGAAGCAGTCCTCGTCGAACGACACCACGTAGGTGTCGTCGTCGGAGCAGTATCCCTGAATCTCGGTCGCCATCTCGCTGGTGCTCGCTCTCTCTCTCTCTCTTCTCTGCGTTGGGTTTTTGGACCGAGTGGTAGTGTACTGGTGTTGAAGACAAAACGAAGATCGTGCACTAGAATGGGAGCGGTTCCCGTCTGCTGGTTCAGGCCTGATCCGGAGATAGTTGCGAGCTTGTTTGATATGAGAAAAAAATATTATTTTAGATTAGAAATTTACAATCGTCTATAAGCAAGTCTATAAGCAAGTGAACCGTGCTGGCTGCTGCTTGTGACCGTTGTGAGCCTAAAGTTTCTGTACGATGGCTACCGAGCAGCGCTGCAGCGGCCGAACGATAAACCGTGGTCATAATCCCATCAATACCATATGTTGTCACTTCAGCATCCGGCAACAAATTGTTGATCACCATTTGGTGAAAACGCAAACTTGTACGATAATAGTATTGGCCAAGAACAAAATAGTTACTGAAAAAATAGAGGAATGCCATGGTTTCAATCCTACAAGTTTAGGAACTAATACTTGTAAACCAAATTCATGTTGTAAACCAACGGATGAAAAACTCACCTTGACATAAATAGAATACAGGATTAGTGGATGTTTGTTTTCCTACGTTTCACCCGTGAAATCGGTGGCAGAGGATTCTTTCCTCCAAAATTCCTGCAGCTCAATCATGTAAATCAAAGGCTGCTACAGTGACCATTTCTATAAAAATCACAATCCTATATTTCTCCTGTGAAATTCCTTTGTCAAAGGAGCCCTTAAAGATCAAGAACAGTAGACTTGTACTAACTTATTCGAGAGGAGCGACACTAGCTTCTCGGTGATGAGGCTAGCTCCATCGCTAGTAGTTTAGGTGATCGACGTTGTGGAGCGTCAGTTTCGTGATGTCCATCTTCTAGTTGCCAAAACCATATTAAACAATTTCACCACATATAATGCAGGTATGAAAACCCGCTATTAACCTTAGTGCCTAATATGTGAGTACAGTGTTTAATATGGTTTACAAGCCGGGTTTTCATACATGCATTATACGTGATGTTCGGTTTGATCCGCTTATTTTTTTATTCGAAAAACATTTTTCTCTCATAAATTCCTCCAGCATTCCTCCAATCCTTCCAGATTTCTCTAGAATCCAGACAAGCGAACAGGGCCCATATTTTATCAAACTAGCAACGTTTGACCATACGTGCACCAATTTGTTATCGTACCTAGTTGAGCAGTTTACAAGTTATTAGACTATTTGCAGACATCTACAAAGTTACTGTATGATGAATATAATTTAAGGGTCTCTATATCGAGTGCATGATTTCTTCGCCTCAGCATTTGGCCCCCATCTTATGATCTACTAGTGACAGTGTGTTCTTCCTGTCACCAGCCATGCAGGCGCAGCATCCCATCCTAGCTGCTCTTTGTCTAGGCGCAATACTAACCCATGCCTCTATTTTTGTCCTTTTTTCATTTCCATATATTTATTATTTTCATACATTAAAAAAAAAACAAGTTTAAATCTTAAATTTTATGAACAATATATTGATACACTATAGATGTGTATAGTTTCATTTTTAAGGCCCCCTTTGGAGCGTAGCATCGAAAAAATACAGGAATAGAAAAAAACACAAAAATGGGATAGGAATGTGTCGGTTTCATAGACCCGGGGTCCCCAATGGACTAGCTTCCCTGCAATACTTGGCCTAGCCGGTAGCGCAACGACAGCGCGTGTCTGGGCCGGCCCAGATACACAATGACAGGCCAAGACCACGATCCGGTCCCCGACCGGCACCTCCGGCCAGGAGATCTGATCGGAGGTATGACCGGAAGGCCCAGCTATGGTGGGACCGCAGTCTGACTCCGACCCCCTTTTCTCCGACCGAGAATACATCGGACCTCAGCTCGCTGCACTTTCCCGACCGACACAGTCGGGACCGACCGGGAATGACCGACCGAGGACGCCCGCTCAGTGTGAGCTCGGGGAGCAGGCGGAGCAGATAAGGTAAGGCGCTCAAGTCAACCGCAATACTGAGGACCATACCCTGACATGCCCTATGCACCTGTAGGACAGTGTCGTCGGGGCATGTCAGGCGAATACGGTAGAACCTGCCAGACGCGTTAGAGCATAAACAGTATTGTGGGCGCTGTCGTTTGCCGTACCAGGCGAACACGGTAGAGCATGCCAGACGCGTATGGGCATAAACAGTATTGTGGGCACCATCGTTTACCGTACCAGGCAAACACTGTGCAGCCTGCCAGATACAACAGAGCATGAACAGTAGGGTGGGCGATGGCGACCATCCCGTATCCGATGGTGTGGGCTACAAGACTAGGCAGCGTACGTATACACACACTCTCTCTTTTTTCTCTGACTTGTAAGGCCATCCCCTTCAACTATAAAAGGGGACAAGCTCTCTCCTAAAAGCCCCCCCCGAAGATTGAACGACTCGAGGACTCGACAGCTCAACAGCTCTAGGGCCCGATAGTTACACAGTCTACACGCTCTTACACGCTCTTAATAGTTGATACGCTCCGATACTTAGCACACATTTGAGCATCTGTCATTCTCGGCCACTCGGTTCAGAGTCTGATCGGGCCTCTAACACTCCCTTCTCATTCTTCACTCGTTTGTAACCCCACAGCAAACTTTGAGCACCTAGGCTCAGGAATAAAGTCACCGATCGACTGAAACTGGACGTAGGGCCTGTTGCCTGAACTAGTATAAATCCTGTGTCATCGCATGCTAGGCCACATCCGATCACAACGCACGGTAAAACTACAAATATCTACTTGTTGGCCACATTTTTCACCGACAGTTGGCGCCATTCGTGGGGACGACGCCATGCGTTCACGCTTTTGGTCATCGGATGGCCCACCTTTTCACCATCTTCGGCATGGCGGGCTCGAGCGATACGATTCGCTTCGGCTCGCTGAAGTTTCCCATGCTCCCACTTGATAGGATGTGGGCTCCTCCCGTCTTCATGCCACTCCAGACCTTCCTCTTTGGGAGTCTGGACTTCGTCGCCGACCAGCTTGACATACTCCGCCTCTGCGAGGAGGTGCTTGTACCAACGCCCACTGGAGGAGGAGCGCCTTCCACCGGCCCTGGGCCACTCGACTACCTCAACGTCGAGACACCCGCGCTTCGCCTTGAGCCCATGCTGGGCTCAAACCCCACGGTGAGTGATATACATTTTGTTCTTTACTCACTATTTAACACCTTCCGCCAACTCTTCAGAGGGACCCCGTTGACCCCACCACGACCGCCGTGCGACCGATTCCCTTATGGCATCGCGTCCACCGTGGACGCGTGTGCTCGGGGACTCTAAAGGATGCTGACGCCGCCCCCTCTCACGTCCGAGTTCATGGGGATGGCGTGCTACGCTCCTGCCTCCTTCCACGACCTTGTCGATGACGAGGTCGAAAGCGATGGCTCCAGCATCGGCGATGTCATGGCATCTGGCCACCCTCTGTCCTAGGAGTGCGCTATGGCGGACGCTCTGGGACAGCCACTAGAGGTAGTTGTGTCCCTATAGACTCACACCCCTCTGGACCCCCGTGCGTAGGCCCTAGTGCGTGCACAGCAGCACGGCGAGGAGTTACAACAAAGGTGGCAAAACCAGCCGCCGCGCGCTCAAAGCGCCCAGCTTATCACGCTGCGCCACATGCGCGTAACCCGGCGAGCGGCGCTGGGGGTCATGCCCGTCAGGTCTAGCATAACGTACTGGATGGTGGGGATGACACCCTTCAATTTGCTCAGGCTGGACAGAACATCGTTGCTGCGGCGATGCTTCTGCGTGGTCTCCCCGAGCCTGCCAACCCCCAGGAACAGGCAATCTACCAGAACCTCTAGGCGCTGGTGGAGACCGCCGCCGTTCAGCATGCGAAGAGCTCCGTGTTGCGACACTGGCTCGTGGCATCTTGCCCAACCGGGGGACTAGGGCCACACCAGTCGAATCGCTCCGTCCACTCACCACAGTAGTTGTTGGGCGTGGAGCAGGAAGCCATAGCTACACCGCAGCCCGACCCAGTGCCCACTCCTCACCGACCACCTATGCACGAATGGCTCTAACCAAACCGTGATGATCGCAGCGTCATCAACAATTAGCGCCACGCTCGGCATGATGATGACGCCCATTGAATGGCAGCGAGAGCCCGTGGCGTGGGCCCTGGCCTGACCATCAAGGAGTACGAGGACACGCACCCTAGGCATGGTGGTCGATCAAACGACCGAAGCCCCAAGCCAGATGGCCCGGGGCCATGGTCCTTTGGTCATCGCATCTAGAAAGGGCCGTTCCCACAATGCTTCTGACCGTCCACCAACATTGCCAGGTACACCAAGAAGACGAACCCCGGTATATGGCTCGAAGACTTCTGGCTCACCTGCCTAGCCAGAGGAGTGGATGATGACTTCTTCATCATCCAGTACCTTCCCATCTGCATGGGGGAGCATGTTCGAGCATGGCTCAGATTCCTTCCGCCCAACAACATCCATGACTAGGTGGATCTCAAGAGGGTCTTCGTCGAAAATTTCTAGGGTACGTATGTATGTCCTGGGAATTCATGGGACCTCAAGAGCTGCTAGCAGGAGCCCAATGAGTCCCTATGGGATTACATCCGCAGGTTCTCAAAGCAGTGCAACTCCCTTCCTAATGTCATCGACGTGGACGTCGTCAGCGTGTTCCTCTCTGGGACAACCTGCAAGTCCTTGATCCACAAGCTCGGCTGTGTTAAGCCCCATACCACCCGCGACCTGCTCGACATCGCCATGAACCACGCCTCTGGCGAGGAGGCGGTCGGGGTGGTCTTCAGAGGCGATTAAGACAGGGGCAAGGCCAAGCGCGAGGACCAAGGCGAGTGCCCCTCCACACAAAAGGGGAAGAAGAACAAGAAGGATCGGCGCCTACCGGCCAACCTAGCTTTGGTCGCTGTGGCCGACCGAGCGAGCAAGCAGCCCCAGCGGGGCCAGCCCGACCACTTCGACAAGCTCATGGAGAGTCCATGCTCCAACCACGCCTATCCCGTCAAAC